AAGATTTCTGACACAGAGAGAAAAAAGACATTGAAACAACTTCTTGGAGGTCATTTCAGCTCTTTATCAGAGTTATTGGGGAGAAGGCACCCTCCATTTCCCTCCAATTCAGGCCCTGAAATTTCTTGCCTGTGCCCCAGAGTTCTGCCATTGTTTTTTAAAAGAACAAGCTTTCTCTTTACCTGGGAAGAGAGGAGTTGAGGGAAACTTCTGAGTGTTTGCTGTAAAGCCCTGGCTTGGGAGAGGTATTGATTATTTTAACTAAACCTGTCATCTTTATTCCCACTCATTGCTCTTGGCTCTATATGTAGTGGGGATAGAAAACAGGGGGTCCAAAAGAGTTGATTTGAATTTTCAAACTCTCGGCTAATATACTATAATTCATAGAGAAATTATTTTTTATTTTTCTTTCCAGTAGCTTTTTAGGAAATGGCTAATTGGCCAGGCTTACAATATTGGCCATTTTGTGAGTGTGCCAGTGACACATTTTCACCATTCCAAATGTTGATAGTGGCACAAAGGCTAAAGACCTTTTCTGTTCAGGTAGTCCTCAACTTATGATCACAACTGGGACTGGAACTTCCATCACTAAGCAATGTGGTCATTGAGTGAGTTGTGCATGAATTTACGATCTTTTTTGCTGTGGTCATTAAGCAAATCACGTGGTTGTTAAGCGACTCTGGCTTCCCCCATTGGCTTTGCTTGTCGGAAGCCCCTGGAAAGTTCCCAAATGGTGATCATGTGACTCTGTGAAGCTGCAACTGTCGTAAATATATGCCAGTTGCCAAGGGCCTGAATTTTGATGACAGGACTGCGCGGCTGCTGCAACAGTTGTAAGTGCAAGGACTGCGCATAAGTCACTTTTTTCAGTACCATTGTAACTTCGACTGGTCATTAAACAAATAGTCATAAGCTGAGGATTACCTGTATTAAGTCCCTTAGTATTATAGAACTGGGACCTGATAAAACTCATGTTTGGAAGATTAAGGACAGGACTCCTAATACTCTTCTACTGTTTTTCTCTTTATAGATTGTGAACCGTGTACTGGATTGTGTTAGCAGTGGTGGCTTTTGTGGCAATGATACCGCGACACACGCAACATTGATTTCCCTAGCATTTGGTGGCATTGGTATGATTAGCCTTTTATCTCCTATGCCATTTCCATTTCTTACCTCCATCCTTATCCTTCGCTTCCAACCTGAAAAGTTCTCCCTGTTGATGATTATTTCAATCAGACTAAAGACAAAGATATTAAGATTCCATTTTTTTTTACTATTTCCAGCATATTTGCAGTTTAAACCAAATGTAATCAAATAATAAATACCCCACTGTGCTATACATGTGGTCATTTATAAATAAATGTGAGAGCTGGAAATCTCCTGGTGTACATTACGCTGGGAAGCAGGAGTAAGCGGAGGAGGCTCACTATTTTTAACTTTGTAAGTGGTGCTAACAAGACCAAAATGTGTTCCACAGGACGAACAGCTCTGGTTCAATAGGCCTGGTCACGCACTGCACTAAACCCAGCTTAACGTGCTGTGTAAACCAAGATTGTTGCATTTTGAGTACAAAACATGGTTAAACTGAAGAGATATACAGATTTAATTTGTACCAAAAGAAGCAATAGTCTCATTTTACTGGGGATTAAGGCAGTTGTAGTTCAACAATCATGAAACACCTCAGGCCAGCAAATTATTATCCAACCAAGCTTTGCTTGTCCTTATTAGATTCTCCTCTTTAGTCCCTTCTTTAAGAGTCATTCTGCAGAGTCCACTGAATATAAAACCTATAATAGAGAGCACTATGAGGGGAGTGCTTTTAAGGGCAGCTATCATCCAGCCTGAGGAAAAAGAATAAATAGCAAGGGCTGCGCAGGTTGTGTTGTCAGGTGAAAGATGGCAGTCAGCAGATTTCATCTGAACTTCCTCTTTTTTTTTTTAATATTGCAGGACTCAGTGGATTTGGCAAGTACCACGGCAAGTTTACTTTCGACACATTTTCTCACTTTCGTGGCTGTCTTTTGCGCTGCATGGGCCTGGAGACAATCAACAAAGTGTGCTACCCCCCATACAACGATCATAAGTTGCAGCTAGCGATCTCTGCTTCGGAGATCAAGCGCAGAGGCATGTGCAGTTTGCTGTGAGGCCTGGAATCACATCACCTGCATT